GGCAGTTCACTGTATGAAGAAACCAGTTTTAAAAAATCCTTTTTCCCACTGATTGAAATGGGACACTTCCAGTTTTTGTCTACCGTGATTAAAGCTTCTGCAAACATTTTTATATAAACCATTGTGTAGACATATTTTTCATTTTGGGGTCATAGTGTAAGATATATTTGAACTCTATAACAAATTGCCAAGCGGTTTCCCAAAAAGATTACTTCCTACTCTTTATGAGCATTTCATTAGCTCCATAGCATTGAGAAAATTTGGTGTTGTCAGTTGCTTTCATTTTATCTGTTCTGTGAGTGTAGCAGTATCTCTTTCTGGCTTTAATTTGTATTTTTCCAGTACTAATCAACACTTTTTTTATGTGCTTGTGAAACATTTATTCAAATTGTTAGCTTCTTTAAAAAAAATGGGTAGTAAAAAAAAAATTGGGTAGTCTCATTTCCACAAGAAATTCTTATTTCATTGAGAAAGTGCTCCCAGCACTGCAGAAAATACTTAAGGAAATCCTAGACAGAGACAAGGTGGTCACCAGCACCAGAGAGCCCAAAGGAAAGTATGTGTCTAACTGGGAGGGTAGTTAAAAGGAAAACAAAAAGGAATCAGCACTGAAAAAAAATAAGGCAATGACAAACAGGATTCATTAAACATCTTATAATAATGACCTTCCATGTCATTGGTGTCAACTCCTTACGCAGAAGACATACACCAGCCCAGGCTTTAGCTCAGTGGTTCTGCCACCTGCCTCGAAAGTGCAAGGTCCTGAGTTCAATCCTTGGTACCAACAAACAAACAAACAAATAAAAAGAAAGAAAAAAGACATACACTAGCAGTTTGGATAGAAAAAAAAAGAGACAGCCATATATGCCTACAGGAGACACATTTTATCCAAAAAGAAGTATAGAGACTGAAAGTGATGATCGAAAATGGTACTCCATTCATGGCAGCCAAAAAACAAGCAAGAGTAAGAGTAGCTTATTTTCAGACATAGCAAATCTCAAGGCAAAACTGATCAGAAGAGAGAAAGATGGTCATTACATGCTGGCAAAGGGCACAATTCAACAGGAAGAGGTAACAATTGTAAGTATTTACATACCAAATGTTGGTATTCCCAACTTCATAAGACAAAAATTATAAAAATATGACGAGCAGTACTCTCCCTCCTCTATAATTTGTGATAATCAAAATTTTTTCTCAACATTACCAAGTGTCCCTGGAGAGGAGAATTGTCTCTTAGAACTATTGTGGGTCATTTTTGTCACCATATGGAAATAAAATGCTTAAGAATAAAACCTATAGTTGAGAAGTTAAAGCCAAGTGTGGTAACAAAGCAGTGAAAAACAGGGCTGCATAAAGTGCACACTTTTTTTTAAAAATTTTTGAGACAGTCTCTCAATATGTTATTTATATTGAGTAGGCAGGCCTTAAATTTGGAATTCTCCTGCCTCACCCTCCTAAGTAGTTGGGACTACAGGTACATAAAACCAAGCCTAGTTTTACCAGCTATGCTTAAAGTGAAAACCACTTTTGGACTTTTATTTTTAGAATTTAGGGCTTAAAATTAACTACATGTATGTGTATATGTACATCCATACACATAAATACATATGGGTACATATGTAGCATTGCTTTGAATCATTTTCCTGACACTTGCAACTGAAATAGTCCTGACTGATGGTATACCTATTATACAACTTGTTTGCAGGTAAGTAGTAATGCTGTTAAGCTGGAAATTAAAATAAGCTATGATAGGTGTTATGCAACAAGAGCAGTGTGCAAACTCTTAGCAAATTAGGGTTATGGGGAGAGTGAAAAGGCTACCTGAAAAGTATTTCCAAAGCTAAGTGGAAGTAATTCTGATGATAAGTGAGTTGGGTAAAAGCTGAGGAGAGTGGTGCAGAGAACTATTTGAGCAAAACAGTAATACTAACATAAGTCCACATGGATATGCTGGTGAGATCAAGGGGTGAGACTACAGAAAGATAATGTCAGTCAGGACCTCAGAAGAACATAGAGAATACACTTAAGGAACATAATTGAGCAAGACTTATTTACATCACAGTAATAAGGTAGAAGGAAAGACTGAGTCACAAGAATCAGGGAGCATTGTTAACAACTGGGCTTGTTAAGAGATTTCTGGGCCCTATGCCAGTTTCAGATTCAGCAGGTAGTACATGCCTGTAATCCCAGCACTCTGGAAGGCTGAGGGAAAAGGGTCACAAGTTCAAGTCTAGCCTGAGCAGTTTAATAACATGATGAGAACTTGTCTCAAAATGAAAAAAAAAAAGGGGGCGGGGATGGGGATGTAACTCATTTGAAAGATCCTGGGTTCAACTCCTAATCTCCAGTACTGGGGGAAAAAAATACCAGCAAAATAAACCCTCTTAAAACTGACCTCATCTGGAAAGTTGAAGAAATCTGTAATTTGGAGATGGTATTTCATTTGAGCTCTGAAGGGAAAATAGAAATTAGTCAGTTACAAAGAATGAAGAGACTTCCAAGAGGAGGAGAAGCATTTGAAAATCCTGATGCAAGAGAGTTATTGGTTTGCTCTAGGATCAGTGGTGGTGAAACTATGGCACATGTGTTGTACAGTGAGCTGTTTGTTAGCATCAAAAGCTCTAAAAGTTTGGCCATCACTGCTCTAGGAACTGAAAGAAAGCCTAGAGGAAATGTAAATGTTGCACATATTTAAAAACTCAAAATTAACAGGAATAGAGATCCCTAAATTTGAATCCAAGCAAAAAACACACCCAAATGAATTTGAAAGAACCTTAACAAAAGTGGAAATATAGTGGATTTTTTTTGGCTACAACTAAGGAACACTTAGAGGGAAATTTATAGCTTTATGTGCTATAATAAAAGAAAATTTTAAATCAGAGGTTCAAGCTTTTTGCCGTGAGAAGCTGGAATACAAAGAGGCAAATTGACCCAGTGTAAGTGGAAGGAAGAAATACAAGGAGCAGAAATCAGTTAAATAAAAAAGAAGGGTACAATAGAGGAAGAAAAGTAACCAAAAATTGGTTCTATGAAAAGATCAGTAGGCTCCAAGATTTAGATCAGCAGCACCGCACCTGCCTTGCAAGTGCAGAGTCCTGAGTTTGATCCCTGGTACCAAAAAACAAAAACAAAACAAAGAAAAGGTCAATAAATATATGAGCCTCTTGCTAGACTTATCAAGGGTAGAAAAAAGGGGGCACAAATGAACAGTATTGGGATTAAAAAGGGATAGCACTTCTGATTATACAGTCATGAAAAGGATAATAAAGGAATACTATGAATGATTTTATGCCAATAATATGACATCTTGGATCATTAATTCTGAATGGGGATGATATCATCCCCAAAGGGACAAAAATTGACCCTTGGGAAACAAGATCTACTAAGCATCTCACTGTATAGACCTCTGATAGAAATAGTGGGACTGAAGGCTAGTGATTTAGCTCAGTGGTTCTGCTACCTGCCTTGCAAGTGCAAGGTCCAGAGTTTGATCCCCCGTACCTTAAAAAAAAAAAAAAAAAAAGGGATAGTGGATTT